TAGATCTAAGCTCCGAAGCTTCTTCCTCAACTCATACGCCTGTGCATCATTACACCGTTAGGAGTACATCTGGGCTGCAGCTGTCCAAATCTTATGAGCAGTATCTAAGAGAAGAAAGGACCAACTGATGGTGGGCGACATAGAGTTAATGAGCCAGGTGTTAGCAAGCTAGGGAAGGTCATTGGTAATGTAGCTAGTCAAACAGCGAGCAGCAATAGCAAGGCTATAAGAACGGGACTAAATCAGATAATTGGAGCCATCAAGTTTCACATGACTGATTTGAAGAGAGAGACTATCATTAAAAGTCATAACACGATGCACGCCACCCTCTTCACTCACCCTAGGGTCTTTATCCTCAATTCCAGCCATTGAAAATCAATCCCCACAATAAATAATAGTCTAGGAAGCCAACAACAGTGCCAAAACCTCAACAAAGGACTGGGAAGATACCTTACAGAGCCAAAACAAGCCAGGAAAGTAAAAAAGGAACAAAAACTGAGAGAATCCTCACCAATCCTTCAAAATAGTGACCTAGCCTCCTCTAATAGTCCAGTCGGCTCCCAAGGAAAGGGAAGGAGGAGAAGAAACAGCCCTAAAAGGGCTCTAGCAGTGGCTTTCGAAAAATAGCCATTTTTTTTCCAAAAAATCAACAAAAATTGGAAAAACCACCAAATAATTACCAAAAAATTGAAAGAAAATCATGGAGAAGAAGCCCATGAAATTTCAAACATGGAAGTGTTTTTTTTTTTTTTTTTTTTTTAGCGCGCGCGCGTGCAAAAAAATGAAGAAAAAGAGGAACAAGGAAAGACCACAATCTTTGAGGAGGAAGATGTGGCTCTGATATCATGTAAGATGTTAGATTCACATATGAAAAGAAGAAGAACAATAAGAAGAAGAGAAGAACAGAGAGACTGCTGTGTTTATTGTGTTTATCATCTTGCTCTTAAACATATTAGGATTATACATATTTATAATGAAAGACTAAAGAAACAAATGATATAACTACCCTTACACACTAATATTTAACACTTTTCAAGTTCACAAGCATCATAACCAAAATTATGCCTAGGACAATCATGAACTAAAGAAAGAAAAAGTTTCTCTAAAACACTAAAGGACGGATGACCCAAACGACGATGCCACTGATGGAGGAGATGAAAAGAGGAGCCAGTAGTGCACTTGCGAGCCTGAGATGACAAAGGTAAGATAGAAGGAACAGCATCCAGAAAGTACAGTCCACCTTGTGCTCTACCACTGCAAATCATTTTCCCTATAGCCAGTTCCTGAAAGACACAATGAGTAGGAAAAAAGGTCACGGAGCAATTTAGAGAGGTAGTAAGACTACTAACATAGAGTTAGTTAGTGGAAAAATTAGGAACATGAAGCACAAATAAAAGAGACAATAAAGAGGAATAAAGAACCGAACCCATGCCAAAGACAGAGGATAAAGTGCCATCTGCCACTCTAACTTTATCTCGCCCAGAACAAAGAGATAAAAAAAACTTGAGGCACCTGTCATGTGGTCGGTAGCATCGGAATCAATAATCTAAGGAGATGATGAGGATGTACTGAGTGCACTATCAGGAATACCTGTGTGAGCAAAGTTGGATAAAGCAGAAGAAGAAGAGGCTGTGGTAGAATCCAGCCGAGCCATTAAACGCCTGAGCGTGTGTAGCTCATCCTGTGAAAAAGTACTAGTGTCAGCAGGGGTGCTAGTAGTAATCTCGGACACATATGCTTGAGGAAGAACTCCACCACCACGACCACGGCCTCGGCCTCGAGAAGGACGATTATTCAACTTCTAACAATGTGCCCGGTCATGCCTGTCCTTCCCACAATAATCACACTTCAAGTAATCCCAATCAGTCGATAGAACCTTGCTACCAAACTGTGACGGACTAGGCATAGTATCTCGCAAAGAAGGAGCAACAACCAAAGTAGAGCGATCTGGTGGAGAGGAGTGCACCATAGCACTACGTCTACTCTCCTCTTGCTAGACAAGCTCATAAGCCTCTCGTAAGGTGGGAAACGGAGAACAACCCAATACTTAAATGCGAATCTGATCATACTCCAAATTAAGACCAGTAAGGAAATCATAAATACGTTCTTCTCGATAGCCTGCTGAAACAAAGAGGCATCCTAAGAACAAACAGCCTGAAAGATCTGGCAATAATCCAATTCTTGCCACAAGCCACTCAGCTCAGCATAATACACCACAAGTGAGCGACCCTTTTGATCTAAGCCCCGAACCTTATTCCGTAACTCATAGGCCTGTGCATCATTACCCTTTTGAGAATACATCTGTGCCACAGCTGTCCAAATCTTATGAGCAATGTCCAACAAAAGGAAAGTCCGACTAATTGTAGGCTGCATGGAATTGATCAACCAAGTCATAACCAAAGCATTCTCATAAATCCATTGAGTTATGCAAATCACCATCATCAGTTGGTTGCTTGAGGGTACCATCAATATATCCAATCAAACGACGAGCAACGATAGCAAGACTACAGGAGCGGGACCAAATCAAGTAGTTGGTACCATCAAGCTTAACAGGACTAATTTGAAGAAAAGGACTATCACCAAGAGTCACACAACGACTCAATCCCTTCTCCTCAAGGCCCTTAGAAGTTTGGCTCTCGAACCCAGCCATAGGAAAATAGAGCAAGGTATCAAACAAATCAGAAAACAATCAACTGGAGACAGTAACTCACTGATATAGGTGAAAACTGATCAAATCCACACCAAAACAAGCCAGACAGAGCGAGCAAAAGACTAATCAACTAAAGAAACCTCAAGAAATCATCAAAACAGGACTCCTAACCTACCACATTGTTCCAGTCGGCTCCCAACAATAAGAGAGGAAGGGAAAAATCAGCCCTAAAAAGGCTGGAGCAAGGAGTTTCAAAAATTAGTCATTTTTCTAGAAAATCAACAAAAAATTGAAAAACAACCAAACAATGGACAAAAAATTAAAATAAAATCATACGGAGGAAGCTATCAAATTTCGAGCATGGGGAATTTTTTTATTTTTTTTTTTTTAAAACTATACACAAAAAAATGAAAAAACAAGAGAGTAAAGAAAGACTAGGAAAAATTCTTCAAGGAGGAAGAGGAGGCTTTGATACCATGTTAGCTTCACAGATGAAGAAGAAGAGGAAGCAGAATGAACCGAGAGAGAAAGAGAGAAGCAGCTATTGTAATATTATTTCAATGATAATAGGGTTACAACCTAAGCGTACGTATTTAAGCTAATAAACATAAACATAAGCTAAAGTACTAAACTACCCTTATATAACAATAACACTTAACAGTTGGATAGCTTGGTATACGTTGTTGGGCCCATTTCTTAACAACTTAAGCTTTTGAGACAATTGGTTATCTAACAATGTATTAGAGCACAGGTTGGGAAAGGTCTTGGGTTCAAGTCTCTCTATTTGCATTTATTTCCCATTTGCATTATGTTTTTGGATCTTTGCATCTCCATGTGCAAGATAGGGTTGCACGTAAGAGTAGGTGTTGGATAGGTTGGTGTAATCAAGTGTCTAATATGGTATCAGAGCTAAGGTTGTGCCTTCACAGAGGTGGGGATATTGGCATCCCATATTGGTTATGGACGATGTCTAGGATGGACTTATAAGACAGCATAGGACACTTCTAACTTGGAGACTTTTGGGCTTTGCCCTCAAAGGGACAAACTCGTGATGCCGACTGTTAGACAGGGCCATAACAAACAATAATTTTATGTGGAGGCTGGGCTGTGCATCTAACACTATCAAATGTGCTATTGTTATGGATTTTGTACAAGGTCCTTGAGCATTAGCGGGCAAAAAATAGGAAATCCACGCCAGAAATGTCTCCATTAGGAGCTTTGGTATTTGAAAATTTTTTCTTGTCATTTTCCTACTCACAAGAGATGACTAGATGCTCTAACCACATTTTAATTGTTGATTGCTTTTCCAGTTCAATAAATCTGCTTTAAGCCAGCAAATGTTACTCGTATTTTATGTTCAATTTCTGTAAGTATATCTTACTTTTAGCAAAAATTTTACAAAATTACTTGAGGCGTGTGTGGAACCTTTCAAAACAGTTTAGTCATTCAAGGTTATAACTTTGCTTGCAATTGGAGTTTAGTGTACCATCAAATTTTAACCTTAGGTTAGGAGAGAATATTTGATTACTTTGAGTTTTTCTAGCTACTGATCCGCCCATACCTAGAATTTGACAAATTCGGGATTGGGTATCAATATAACATATTTCTCAGTGTCGTAGAAGCAACAAAATTGGTTGGCAATTCCAAGTTGGTAATATCCTTAGTTTTCCTTTACAAACTATTTTAATTGTAAAGGAATATAGTTGCAAAATAGGTTTTGTTTTATTTTATTTTATTTTGCTTTTTTATGTTTAAACAACCTACAAGACTAAGTTTAACAAAAACTCAAGGCAACCTCTTCATATGCATACTTCTCATATTCTTATGCACAAAAGGCATACAAGTTGCACCTATGGCGTGTGTCTCAAATTGTTATGCGTAAGCCTTTGGGGAGTAAAGCCTAAAAATCAAAGCCTTGATGCGTTTTGCCTTAGTCTCGAGGCGAGCCCCAATAAAGCCTTTTAAAAGTTTGCCTAGGGATGGGTAGGTTGCATGTCCTTGGCCTGTAGGATGCACATGGCAAGTGCTACTGAGTAAGCACGTTGCACGTGAGGGAGGGTGTAAAGCAAAATCCCACACTGTCTAGGTACTAATCCTTTCCATTTGAACAAGAGCCTCAAACCAAACAATGTTCTTTTCTTATTCATTGTATTCAGAAATTGGAGCCCTATATTTGTACTCAGTTGCCTGAATTATGATCATTGATCTTTTACACTGAAGCAGATGTCTAAATTTCTTTCTAATTTTTTGTTTTTTTTCTTCTTCTTATTTCTGTTTTATGTCACTGAGAATTTTTTTGTAAATGGGAGGCATGCTTTTTTTCTGGATCTTATGTTTGCTTTTTCTCTAGCTGGAAGACATTCATGGAAGCTTGTTTCTTGTCAAATGTGATGCGGATTTGAATAGAGTTAGACAACGACCAGGACAAAAGCAAACCAAAATGACCAAATTCTGCAATGGGATATGCTTATTCCTTGTTTTGTTGTGTGTTATATGGGCCCCTATGCTGGTAAGATTTCATTGAACTAAATTTATTGACATTGCATATTAGTAACTGTAGTCTCTGAAGTGATTCTTACAAAGTAAAATAATGTAAAATATGTAAATTATGTAACCAAGGCTGACTATATCTGAAAATAAAATAAAATAAAATAAAATAATAATAATAATAATAATAATAATAATAATAATAATAATAAGGAAATATGCCATGAGTATTGCCAGGGGATGTGTAACATGAATAATTTTTTTTTTCCCCAAAAAATATTTCTTATAATTGTAAAGAGGAGCTTTGATTTAATTATTCTCAGTATCAGGAGTGGGTTGCTTTTTGTATGTGCAGTGCATGCGAGCCTGATGACTTACTCATAAACATATACTTGGTAATACATTCATAAGCATATACTTGATTGTATAGTCATTTACTCTGAATCAAAGGCTCATCCCATCTATCTGTGGTCGGCCAATGGACAATAATTATTCGTTATGCATGACCAAATGCTCAAGAAAATATCTTCTGATGTTGTTATTAGTGCTATTGTTGAAAGGAAGCATTTCTTTCACCTTATTTATATGAGTAGAGCATCCTCTTTAGTTTCTCCTCCCTGTACATGATCAAATGTGGAAAACAGGTGGTGTTTCCATCATAAATAGGGCAGAGCCACATGTACTGTGAAGGGGCTATCACCCTTCTAGAATTCAATGTTTCTCTTATTCTTCTCCAATTCTATAACCAAATCTTGAAGCCACGAGGCTAATATTGATTCCGAGTTTGGCTCCTCCAGTTTGAATGAATTTTGGTATTCAAATTAACTCTTAGCCTCTTAGGTCCATATCCAGATCCAGTCTCACCCTCCCAGCACTCTCAATTAACAGGGACCAAGACCGGGAAATCTTCCTCTACCCTTACTTTGCATCTACAGTGAATTACTTCTAATGCGTATCAGATTCTGAAAATTGGCTACAAAGAAAGTATCCGGATATACACTGTCATGTGCGGCATGTATCCTACACCTGCGTCGATATGTCTTGTTGTGTCAACACAACACCCCTCCAAAATTGGCAAGTCCGTGTAACATAAATTGTGAACAACTTTAGACAATAAACGTAAGTAATCTACAAGGCATAAATTGTGGTTAATTGATTGAAGCTATACAACGTTGTCTCCTTTACCAACTTATGTAAAAGAATGCTTTTCTTTATGTGGCATTCAAGAAGTTTATGTGGAGCAACCTCCTTGGTATGTTACTCAGTGGGAGTTAGAGGAAGTGTGCAAATTAAAGAAGACTATTTATGGTCTTAAACAGTCTCCTAAGACTTGGTTCGACAAGTTTACCGTTCTACTCGTTGCATATGGATGGCAAAGTTAGTGTTATATCATTCTATTTTTGTTTGTCATGGGGCAAAACCAAATTCTTCCCAGTCTACTGGGAACATATTCTCTCTCTCTCTCTCTCTCATCTGCCTTTATGTTTTATACATTCATAAAATCCCATTAATGTGTTTTCTGAATTTTTTTTTTGCACTTCATATTGTGTAAGAGTGAGCAAAAATTCATGTCATAGTTAACCTCTATTGTTTTAAATGGATTAATTTTTATGGCATTAGATAAAACGGTGTTATTGATACGACTCTGAGCTATAAGTTATACCATAAGATTAGATGGGACAAAGGATTGGATATATGATATAAGATTGTGAATAAGACTATGGGGGATAAGTTAGACCATAGGATAAAGGTTATGATAGAGGGAGTATGTCATTATGTTTTCATAGGATGGGTTAAAAAAATATAATTATTTTTTACTGTTGGATGAAGGTGAAAAATAATCGAGAGAGGCCTAATACCACAATTCCTACTTAATCTCCCATATTTTCCCATTTAATACCCCATACATGTATTAAAATTATTCAAAGTTTCAATACTGAGTTAAACAAACAACAGATTAAAATGCTTGTGGGCCTAGATGTTCCCTCATTTTCTTATCCGGTAACCAAACACCGGATTAACAATCCGGTGGGCCCCTTATGTTCTCCACACTTTAAATCCCTCTTTAAATACTACTAACAAACATGCCCCTTCTTGTTCAAAGTATTCATACTTTCATCCCTTTCTCAAAATTTATGTCATTGTTAACCTCTATTGTCTATTTTTGTTTTTAGATGACCATTTAAGTCCGTCATGTAAAACATTTACTTCTTCCTCGGGAAATCATCCAATTAGTATGTTCACACTACCTTGTTAATGATCTCCTCTTGGAACAAAGTCTTTTGTTAAGTTACATTTTTTTTTTGTTTTTGCTTTAATGACATATTTTCTCAATGATTTATGACATTTGACTCTTTTTTAATTTTCTGTTGCACTGGATCCATTCTTTCTCAATGTGTCATATAAAGCCTTAGTTGCAGGAATTGCCTATTCAAGGTGATGTTTCCACTCCAGAATTGCGACTCCACAGTTCAGAGAAAGAATCAAGTTAGAACCACATTCCCATCGAGATAGAATCACAGTTCCAACTGATATAGAACTGCTCGAACATATGAATCCTAAATAAACAAAAGAAATATTGAGAAACTATGTATAGTATGTGTAGTAAACAAGGATGAACATGTCAATGTACGTCATAATGATATAAGCGCAAAAAATGAAGAACAAATCAAAATAGGGACATTAATATATGCTTGACATTGCAATGAGAATTTACTATGCTTATCTTTAATAGTGTACCACACCAAACTAGATATTGATTTAGTACACGGAAGGTCTCAAATCCATGAGAAAGAAAACCTTGACTCAACTAAGAAGATACTAAAATTCTGAAATATTATTAAGAATGAATTCCTGTGATAGAGCTTTACAACTTTATTTATAGTAGATAAATCCTAATTATTGTAAAACACAAAATAACTAAGAAAGAAGGAAAAGTTACTAAAAATAGTAATTTTGAGTTATGCCCAAATTGAAATACTACTTACCAGGTTTAGGAAACTTGCCAAAACGAGTAACAATGAAAACAAAAGCTCCCAAAGAAAGTTATAACTAAAAAAACTTTTCTAAAATAGATAGAATTCTAATTTGGAAGTATAAAAGTTAGAATTTGACCAAAATCACACGTGCGTCATCATCGAAGGTATGAGTTGTGTTTGGCACATCTCATCTGATCATACTATTAAATTTGAAGTAATTCCCGGCTCGTTAGTTTGGCGTCACTAGCTCAGTCCCCTGAATTCTTCGGAAATAATAGTCTTAGGTCATCCTCTCTTTCTTAACCTCCTCATGAGCTTCTTCTGATCCAATAGTTCAAAGAACTCATCGGCTACTCGTCCTACATCAATATATATATACATTACAATTAGGAAAGAAGTATATTTTCCTACAATATTTATAAGTGCTTCCAACCTTAAACTCTTCTATGTGCGCTCACTCTGCTGCTCTTGCTCCCACAACTAATTGTAAAACATCATCTTTTCAATTTATTTCTGTCTTCACATAATATTATTAGTATAAAAATAAATAAAATTCTGATTATATCCGGATATACTCATGATTTTATTTTAAGGTATACACTATCTACCCATTGCTCATTTTAGAACCATACCGAGGTAAGACTGTATCAAATAATGTCAATGGAATTCCATCATAGTTCTTACTGAGCATTTCATAATTCATGCATTGAAATTTCCTGTCTCTTTATGGATGTGAAGTTTCTTTGAAAGGCCAAAAACTATAAAGCATAGAACAATACTAAGAAAGATCGTCTTTCTACCTTTTAAATGTCTATCTATCATGATACGCCGTCATATGTGCATTTTGATCTTGTATGAAGTTTAAAATTTCTCTTTGGACAGATGTACAGCAGTGGTAATCCAACTAACATTGCAAACCCAATTAAAGATGCCAGTGTTCGAATTGATTTAAAGACGATTGACGGTAGGCTGACATTGTTTGAAACAACTCTTTGCAAAAAGCTCTCACTGGTTGAGCTTGATGAACATATTGATCTGGATCCTCAAGGTTATCTAACTGCTTACAACAAGGATGACATTCAATTAATATGCTGCCAAGCTGATGGAAGCATCTCGTGGCTTGTCCCACCCATTGTTCAGGCCAGATTTGTTCAATCTCTTAAGTGGAGCATGAACATTATATTTTCTTGGCAATTCAATAGGGCTAGGCCCAAAGGCAAGGAAGTTGTGAAGTATGAGCTAATTCTTCAAGATCAGGACCTTCCGAGACCAATGGAAGTGATGGAAGTGCTGAACGGTACTTCCAACAGTTTCAGGATATATAATGTTTATCCAAGATACTTCCGGGTGACTGGCTCTGGTGATGTGAGATTTCTTGAACAGGCGGTATGTTGCATTCAAATATCTATTGTTCTAGACTCAATTATGTAGATTATTGTAGACTAGATTGTTTTCGATTTATTTCAATACATATGATCAATTAATGACCATACACCGAAAATATTGTGCATACAGGTGCGTCTGGTTACTGGTGATCTTGTGCTTAATCATGGTAGTCTAGAGTGGTGGTCTTTCCATGATATAGATGCTTCAAATGTAAGTGTTTGTGGAGAATTGGCTGGACCAATGGCTATCATTGTATCTGAGGAAACACCACGTAAGTTTTTAATTAATGTGATTGTAAGCGTTATTGTTTGTATTTGCCATTCTGTAAATATCCTGATACATGTTATTGATTTTCATTTTCGTGCATTGAAATTCATCTCCTGTTTTCCTCCAGAGGGTATTCTTGGTGAAACACTCAGCAAGTTCAGCATTTGGGGTCTCTACATTACCTTTGTGCTTGCAGTTGGTCGTTTCATTAGACTTCAATGTGCTGACCTAAGAATGAGAATACCATTTGAAAACCTTCCTTCTTGTGACAGGTATACAAATGCATATCCATTCCTTCTTCGTGAGGTTTCTTTGAGTTTTGTGATGGGATTGCTCGCTTTTTAGATCTAAAGTTGTCTTCCTCAAGAAAAAAACTAGATACTAAATTGCAGCTGGCATGAACCAGCACCTAAAATAATGATTTAATTGAAGGCAGAGGAAATTCTGAGTTCCAATTTCCTGATTACAGTATTTTCAAGTTTTATCCAAATCAGATTTCATGTTACTTGATACAGGTTGCTGGCAATCTGCGAGGACATTTATGCTGCAAGAGCTGAGGGTGAACTCGAAGTTGAAGAGGTTCTCTATTGGATACTGGTGAAGATTTACCGATCACCGCACATGTTGCTTGAGTACACTAAAGGTGACTAGATCATCAACAAGAATTGTTTTCTCTGGTCAACAGAAGCTTCAATTTTCATGGAGCTAAAAGACGTTGAATGCTAACTCTATCTAACTACAGATCTATGTTACTTAGAATGTGAATTGTTTTAGTACATGAAACTGGAACAGAAGCGGAAACGAGAACGCTGTACGCCACACACTTTAAAATGTGGTATGAGAAGGGTAGATTGGTATAGATTACACTAAGAATTTAAGATAACTATTGAGCATCCAATAAAATGTAGTTTTTTCTATTGTCATTGTGACTCATTTTTTACATCATGCCCTGTCAAAACTACATTCCCCTTAAATTTTAGTTCAATATATTTTTTTTTTCTCTACAGAAATATTTGAAAAAAAAATATTTTTGAGATTGCTTTGGATTACTAAACTTACTATTCTGAAATGAAAGTATACAATATTTTGCGAAGTGCGTTCCAAAACGTAATTCGTTGGGGTATTACCATTTCTGCCAACACTGCTACATATTCAAACAAAGGAAGAATATTGTACTTGGAAAATTATCGATGGACAGTTTCCGGTAGCAGTAGCATCAATCCTTCCATTTATCAGCTGAAATCTCCTCTTGGTGTAGCATATACTCTCCCCTTTCTGCATAGGATTTTCCTGCTTCAAGTGTAGGTTTTGTCAGGGCATAAGAATATTTTTGGGTCAAATTCTTGTCACTGCAATTATTCATTGCTCACCATGTATGAATGTAGATGGCTGCTGCCAATAGAAAATTGCAAAGCTGAACATTTGGCTAAAAGCTTTATTTTTATTAGTTACTATAGCTGGATTTAATGAATTGTTTACCTAAACTATGGTATGATAGATGATTTATACTACATTTGAACGGCTCGGATTCATATTCCAAAGCCAAAAATTTGACAAAAATACTCTACAAACCGTCTCTAGCGATCTGTCATTATTGCATGCTACGCACTGGTGCATCTCTCCATCTCTCTTTTATGATGAGACTCAGAAATAACATTTTTATTTGATATTTATTCAAAAAAATGGCTGAGCATTCAAATAAAATAAAATAATTGAATTTGAATTTTTGAAATAGTTGGATAATCTGGGAAAATTTAATTAGTTGAAAAATAAATTAAAGTGACAATAATAGGAAAAAAAAAAAAAAAAAAGTTCTAACCCAGAGATAAGAAAAATTAAATTTTGATAATAAAAAAAACAAAAAAAAAAAAAATCCAACCAATGAGAGAGAGAGGGAGTCAAAGGGGGTGGGAAAAAAAGGGAGTCTTACACATTTTTGAAAATTTAATTATTTGATTTACGGAGAATATCAAGCTTCTATAGAGTCTACAATAGAAACAAGAGATTATATAAAATATATTTTTTTTCAAATAATTAAATTAATCAATCGAAATAATTTGACATTGAAAACCATAATTGAATCATAATAATATTTAGGGGGAATATAAAAATTAAAAAAAAAAAGAAGAAAAAGTGGAGGGTAAAAAAAAATAATTTCAAAATGAAGATAGTACAAGTCTTTGTTGCATAAATTTATGCATGAATCACTTATACTTTCATCATTTTGAAATTATTTTTTCTACATTCCATTTTTTGTTTCAAATTCTTCCTAATATTTATAAATAAGTCATTGGGATTTCACCCTAGGCTTAGCAAAGAAATTAGAATGCCATTGAAACAAAGAAACAATTTGTTACAATATTTTCTGAATGAGTTTCATCTCTGTTTTTTTTTTTTTTATTGTTATTATTATTTATGGGAAGCACAAGATATAATACATTGCACATTCGACAATAACTTGTCAATTAAACTACATCGAAGTACGAAATAGATCCTAAAAAGGATAAAGAAAACCTCCACGCAGGGAGGATACGGGTCTCTATATAAGAAGAAAAAATAAACATCTACGCAAGGAGAAGAAAACTTTCATAAAAGGAGGAGAAAGCCTCTACATATAGAGAGGTACTATTGAAAAAAAAAAATCACTACCAAATAGGCATTACCACTTCACGATCTGTTCATCGTCACAACTGATAACTGTGGTACCTTAATCTTTACCTTTACATTACAAAATAAAGCATTATAGATCTGAAGCGGTCACTTAGCGTTTAAAAGCGCGTTTAGCAATGTTAGATCTATGTTAAGAATTAGATCTTAGTAAAGATCTGAAAGCTTTCTCGATAACAAGTTAATGATAGAAACAAGAAGAGCAATAGTGACTACTATGGTGGTAAACAAAAAAGAAAATAAGATAACTTACAAGAGAAGAAATGAAAGATAGATAATGGATAGAAGCACCATCCTCTCTCTGAGAGGTCAGATTTTATTGAGATTGACTGGGGCGGTAGAGTGAGCCAAATTCGAGCGAGACACTTTCTGCTATAAGATTTTTTTTCCTCTTGGTGCAGCTTGCATATGTTCCCCATTGAAATATTGATTTTCTTTTATTGCATCATCGACGTGGCAAGCAAGTCTCATAGCCTAAGGTTTCGTTTGAAAACTTAAAAATCTAGTTAAAAAATCAAAAAATAATATAAATTGTTACATTATTTTTTCTAATTCTTTTTTGTATATTTTTTATAAATTTTTTTTTAAAAAAATGATTAAAATAGTCAATTCTCAAAGTGGCCTTAAACACCATACCATATCACTTTGTTGGGTTGCTAGATTAAGGATCCACCAATTCAATGCACTCTTCTGTTTTTTATTCCCTTTTCAATAATTGTAAACTAGCCCCAATCCCTATTCTCATTACAAGTAGTTCTGTAAAAAGTAAAATTATATCATTAAATTTATAATTAAAAGTAGTATGAGAGAATTAATATATAGCAGATATATGTTTTAGTATTTAAAAATATCATAATACACTTTTTAATATTCATCAGTTGGTTTTGTGATCAGTACCTTGTAGAATTCAAGTAGGCCAATTTAAGAACAACGATTAAGCCTATTGTGCGATGGAAATGGTGTACAAAGTAAATTTCAATGGAGTTTGTTTAAAAAATTATTTCATGGGGTGGGGATTATTGTTCGAGATTTCGGGGGAATGGAATTGATTCATATTAGCGTGACAGTACGGAAGTATTGAGTACGTGCAATGCAGTGTTGTTTCTCTTGGAGGGTGATTTTTTTGACAATGGTGAAAGCTATTGCCATATGATTTTGGTTATTTTGTGAAAGGCATTTTTAGTTGCTCTCATGTTCAATGCAATTGTAATCGGGAAGCAAATTGGCATGCTTGTCTAGATGTGAAGTTGGATGGTTTAAGGGTTTGAACGGAAGAGGTGTGACAAAGGTGATAAAAAATAAATCTAAGTAAAATTGTCGTTCACAACAAATATGATCTCTACATTTTGGCAAAATTGTTTTATGAGGCAAAATTGGGTTGATGGATTTTATTAATAAAAATGACCTTGAGTAATTATCCAAGTGATCATGATGGAGGCCATTTAGGTGCCAAAGTGTGATTATGAAGGGCATTTAGGTGCCAAAGTGAGTGATGTTTCAAGTTTGAGTTTATGGAGAAACGTAGGTCTGCGTTTGTAATCTAACTATTAACATATAATTAACCGCTATCTTGTGGGTGGACAAAATATATTTATTTAAAGGCTATATTTCACTTTACCTCGTGATTATGTGCGGATAACTCTCAGTCATTTAGAAATAAACACATAATCTCCTATGGTCTGTGAATTAATAAAATGCACTGTTAGATTCATCAACGGTACAAGTCAATGTACTAAAATACTTTTGAGTATAAATAGTGTTATTGTGCAAACTACGAATGCTTCATCATTATTTTGGAGGTGAAATTCACTTTAACTCCCTTTGTTTTTTTTTAATGAGTACATAAATCTCTTATGTCTTGACATGTGTTTTGTACTTGTTATTAATTTGGACATAATTCACTTTAGTTCCCAAAAAATTATATGTTTATTTTCAAATGAAATGGAAGTTAGCCAAATGAAATAAATCACAAGAGTTAAAAGTGAAATTTGTCTGGAAATAAATCATAGTTTCTTTTGTTCAATTATATTCCAACTAAAAATAAATGAATAATATATCTCGACAAAATTAATGTGAATCCATCTGACTTAACTCTTTATCTTAATTTCTTGGATGAAGATATGAATGATGTTTGAAGTAAGTTCATAAATTTTGTTTGTTTGTTTGTTTGTTTGTTAAGATTTGAAATAAGTGCATGATTTTTAATAAATTATTATCAAAAACACACACATGTTCATGTTTCTTAACCTAATGTTCATATTGCCTAGACAAATTTTGCTTTCCTCCCCAATTCCCCCAACACAAACTTTGGGTTCTATGATAGATATCATCAATGTCCACTTCACAAAAAAGTTTTTTTTTTCTTTTGAAGTCAATTTTAGTTCCCACACCAGCTCATCATCATGTGAAAGCTCAAAGATTGTTATAATGTCAAAGTTCAACGACCTCTGAAAATTGAATTGGATATATGAAAAAGCTCTTCCTCTTCCCCTTGACTTTTCCTATTCTCATCCAATAAATCCTCCACACTTGTTGTTTATTTTAACAAGAAACCCATGAGACCTCAACCTCCCATCCCATCCATAGAACTTTCAACACGCAAATGGCATATGTAAGCTTCAACTAGAATTCGTTGCAATAATTATTTTTGTAACAATTTTTTAATGGTTATTTAAATAGATTTTTTTAAAAATACAATTAGGATTATTTTGAAAATTGATTTTTTTTTTATTTTTGAGCTTTTTAACTTTATAAAAAGATATGTAAAAAAGTTGAAAAAATAATTGACTTTTTTGTAATAATTTTTTAATTTTTTAACTAAAATATGATCTTCCCAAAAAAACTCTTAATAAAATTTTAAGTAAATGGTTTAACATTAAAACACAATCATTTTCCCAATAATCAAGATTATTGTGAGAATGATTATTGAATAGAAATGTATTGTTATAACTTTTGGAATTGCTATTTGCCACACCTGAATTTAATAACATTTATGTTTATAATTTTTAATAAATGTTTATAAAATTTTAAATTTGAAATAAAAGCTTCTTGTTGTTATAAATAAAATAAAATAAGTAATTTCTTTTACTAAATTCTATGAAAAGAAAAAAGAAAATATGAGTTTTCTCTTGTTTTGTAAGTAATTTTTTGATTCATTTCTCACTCTACCATCAGCAACTACCTTTGACAATACCCAAAATGCACTCAAGTCAAAGGTCCATTTCTGAAATTGGTGGGCCAATATGCTCAAACTTAAATATTTTTGGGCGAAAAGTACATTATTTATCCAAATGTCACCTATTTGTTCAAAATCTGTCACCCCTATATGTCCAAATGT